CTTCCACAGAACCACTCCGGAGGCTTGAAGTATGTTCTCTGCAAATGGATGGCTCAGAGGACAAGGCCTGACCCTTGCCAGAGAAGGTGAAAGAAACCTGCAACCGTGGGGTGTAGGTGGCATTTGGTTTGACCTGTACATCCAGAGGACAAGAGACTACGAGCGCCCCCTGCAGTCCAGAGGCAGCACAGGAGAAAGTCTTTGTGGGGAGTGTTAGGTCCTGCTGAGGGACCCCAACAACACAAAGTACATTCCTGGAGTCAGGAGTTGCTTGTGCCAGCTGGAGCAGAGGTACATTTGTTCACGTCACGGGAAATACAGAGAGAGAAATCTCCAAGAGCCCACAAAGGTATCCAGGAAAGAAAGTCTGCACATCAGCTTTGAACATTCCTAGGTCCCAAGGGCACAAAGTCACTAGTGAGCAAACTTCCCTGTCATCTCCTTCTCTACTCCCTTTCACCTGGGCAGCAGGGACACTGACACCTCTGCAAACTCCATCCCTGACCCCATACGGCCAGCCTGAACTTGGGGAGGACAGGAGACTGGCCATGAGCTCGCATCCAGAGTTTTCACTTCTAGCTCAGGTGGGACATGCCATTTCTCAATTGAGATTCTATCTGCAGCTGAAAATAACCAAAGGATTGTTTGCCACTCAATCATATGCAGAAAAATGTTACACAGCTCAGAGTTTTCCTCCAATCAGTGAGGTTCACTCCTGGTTACTCATTGGAATCACTAGGGACCTTAAAAACAACAACAACAAAAAGCCAAAGCGCAACTCTCATCCCAGAGCCACTGAATCTGAGTTGCTAAAGCTAGGCCCCAGGAATGTGTATTTTAAAATGTAATCAGAATGGCGTGAACCTGGGAGGCAGAGCTGGCAGTGAGCCGAGATCGCACTACTGCACTCCAGCCTAGGCGACAGAGCAAGACTCCGCCTTAAAAAAAAAAAAAAAGTAATCAAACAAAATAGTGACAAAAAGTCCCCAGTTAATTCAAATATGCAACAAGGGGCAAGAAGCTACTGTTCTGGGAGCCAGGGAAGATCTCTCCTACTGAATGGATTTTAAAGACATGATGGAAAACAAAAGTAACATAAAACTCCTGTAGTTTGATTGTCACAAGTTGTGCTCTTCAGTGTGCTAGAGGAGAAACATCATGGTTTTCTAGATTTCATTTTGAAGCTGAAAGTTTGCATTTTATGCCTTAAACACAATCCCAAACTAACTGGAGCTAAGTTCAGTTCTTCAATGTGGGACCCAAAATGATCAATTTAGTATCTGGAGTCTGGGAAGGTCTTTTCTCTTTCTGGGTTACCAGCCAGGTTTCCAGTGATTAACAGATGGGGAAGGGCGCTGGCTTAGTGTCTGGTGTGCTGCTGACATCTGAAGATCTGCTGGCACCTGTCCTTCCACATTAGCCTGCTGGCTGGGGAAATGGCAGAGTCTGCAAGGCCCCCAACATGCTCAAGAGACATTACACGGGTATTTTGGTTTGCTGGGCTGCTCTCTTTTAGTGCCTGCCTCACATCCTCACACACTGTGACTGGTACCCCCTTGGACTGGGCTGCCACTGGCTTGGGATGGAACTTCTCCATCCTTCCTCCAAGTGGAGAGCAGGGTGTCTGCCACCTCGTCTAGTATCTGCATCCCAAGCAGGAGTAAAGGTTATGATGACTCTCATCACATCCAATTGGTCCATCCTCTTCCATGCTCACCAATTTTTGTTTCAGAGACTTTTGGTTTATTTATGCTTCAGTTTCTTTCAGTATACTTTAGTCTCTGTTTTAAAAAACGAGTTCCTAAGCAAAATGACCATCCCAGGGAAATCTTAGTTCTTTTTTGAAAAATATGTTTTGTGTTTTATTTTTGAGACAGGATCTGGTATTGTCACCCAGGCTGGAGTGCAGTGGCACGATCATGACTCACTGTAACCTCCACCTCCCGGGCTCAAGCAATCCTCTCACCTCAGCCTCCTGAGTAGCTGAGACTACAGGCACACACACCACATCCAGTTAATTCTTGCAATTTTTTAGAGAAGGGGTTTTGCCATGTTGCCCAGGCTGGTCTTGAACTCCTGAGCTCAAGTGATCTACCCACTTCAGTTTCCCAAAGTTCTGCGATTACAGACATGAGCCACTGCGCCTGGGCAGAAATCTGCTCTAAGCTGAATGAGGTGCACATACTCTAAGGGACACCAGAACTGTCACATTAATTCCGGCTCTGTATGGAAATGCAACTAGTTTCACGGGAGCCCAGGCTGCCTGCTTCCTTGTAAGCCAGGAAACTTCCAATATAACAAATAAAAAAAAAGGGAAGGTGGGATCTTACCAAAACAACTGGGAGAAAGAGGCTGAAATTTCTTATAAAAAATATTTGTGAGAGCTAAACTTCATCAATTACTATATGATAATAGTAGAAATATTAATGGACTATAAAGCCAAACTTGACCTGCTGTCCTTAACATGGAATGTACTTCAGACCAGCAGGGAATTTTTTTTTTTTTTTTTTTGCTACTTGTTTATTTTTCTTTAGTTTTAAAGGAGATTGAATGAGAAAGGAAGGAATTCTAAGAAAGGTCATTGTGCACTATGGCTGTGAGTCTCATAAATACCCACAACGATTCTATTCCCCTAGCCAAGTGGGGTCAATCTCTAATCGGTCACACTGGTTTATGGCCCACAAGGGCCATTTATATCCACTGTCACCCTGGGCCAAGTCCCCTTCATTTCCACTTTCATTTATTACTCCTTGATAGCTGACACTTAAGTAAATACTTAAAGAGAACAAAAAAAACGGGCTTTTCTAAAAGCAGATATTAATATTTTTAAAGACCTAATAAATTCATGAGCAAGAAGATGGAAAGAAAGAAGGGGAAGAAACATATTTATAAAATTGAATTTCAGTTGTATTTTTTACAAATAATTATTTCTTTTAAAGGGAATGTTTGAGAAACACCAAGTTATTCTTATACCAGAAAACAATTCTTTCCCATCACAAGCTAAGTTAAAACTAACAGAAATGATCAATGAAAACGAAGCCACATGGGTAAGAAGAGTTCAGCTCTACCAAATATCAGTACCATACAGAAATGTTCAAAAGGAAAGATGAAAATCCTTCCCAAAACAGAAGCTACTGGCTTTACACTGACAGTACTGTGCATTGATATCAAAAGACTCAGACCACTTCTGACAGCTTGTAACTGCAGACCCTCACTCTGAATCAGATTTTGCCCTCAAGTGTTTCAAAGGGCCATTGGTGAAATTCAAATAAGTCTGAAGTTCAGTTATTAGTAATGTACCAATACTAGTGTCTTATTTGTGACAAATGTGCCACAGTAATGTAAGACATTAACAATGGTGGGGGAAGTCTGTGAATGTTCTATACTATCTTTGCAACTTTTCTACAGATCTAAAATTACTCAGAAGTAAAAAGTTTATGTAAGAACAGGCAAAAGGCTACTGTCCTAAATCAGTGTCTCTGGATTTAACTACGAAGCTGTTATTCCCTCAAACATGACTTCCTGCACACTGTAAGCTGGAGATTTACTACAGCAACCACAGCCAAGCAGCTAAACTCTCAATTAAGAGGAAGATTTAATGGAAAAGACAACAACAGCCAGGGGTGTCAGGGTATTGCATCCAAATATTGCTTGTTTTATGTGCTCCTTAAGGGCTGCTGTTTATAAATCAAACATATATTCCAAATAACATTTTGAACATACTAAGGAAGCCTGTGCATTTAAAAAGAGGTCTAGTGAAGAGCAAAATAACAGGAACTTATCATGTAATGAGAAGGACTGCATTCTTGCTTGTCATTTTGCAGAGATGGCTTTGCATGGACCACCTTTGCCGGTGGCGGGACCCTGGGAGCCACACAGGTACATGCAGCCCAAGCAGCCTCTGCCTCACAAGTCTCCAGGGTTCTATTTTCCCTTCTCCCTGCCAAGTCATCTTTGCATGACTTTGACTGACTCAGAACTACTCCGGTGAGGAACTCTATTCATGTACAGCTCCCAACATCCAAACACAGGCCTTGGCCATCACATTGGTAGCAAGCATTCAGGCAATGAGACTGAATAGGTAAGAACACTCCACTGAAGGACAGCATCTGAAGCAGGTAAATGCATGATACTTGTCCCACTGTTCCTGAAGCTCACACTGACATGCTCCTGCTGTGCCCAGAGTAGACCCCTGATGCTAGCCATCCTTTCCGCAGTCCAAGCCTTTGGCCAGAGAGGCACTATTATCACTCCTAGAAAAACAGCTTGGGAGCCAATAAAAGAATCACTCAGCTCAGTCAGCCCGGGTAAGCAAAACAGTCCAAGACACTAATTTCTCATCCATGGACGAGAAACCAGAATTCTCCTTTTTGAATTAGGTAAGAGGCTAGAAAATAAATCTTAAATGCATCACAAGCCAACCAAACACAGTTCCTGTGCTTGTAGTTTTGCATGGGTTTTTCCACTGTGGGTACAAAATCTCATTAAACACTTGCAACAATGATGGTAATAATAATAATGACCCTTTTCTCATAAGGGGCACTCTAGAATAGTTATTAATCCAGTGTATATCAGATAACTATTCAAAATTATTAATTTCCTCATCCCCTTCTTGGGAGAACAACTCCCTGCCCCTTAACTTGGCTTTGGCCCTGTGACTTGCTTTGGCCAATGGCAGATAAGCTGAAGGGACAGTATGGTGCACCAGTCCTGAATCTAGGCCTTAGGAAGCTTCACATTGTTCCAGTTGTCCTCTTTCACTCTGCACTTGTCATAGCAAGCACATCTCCTATGTATCTGTTGCCTCACGACCCTGATTCCCACAATAAATACATGCAAAATTAAAACCACTCCGCTGACCTATGGATCCATGAGCAAGATTAAATAACGGAGTTTTAAGCCACTGGGTTTGGGGATGGTTTATTGTATACGTGATTTTGTCAATAGCTGAAATGATAGACTCTATCTTCTCTCCACATACAAAAGCGTCAGTTACTCACCATCGTCAATTCCAGGCCAGCCCATGAAGTGAGCAGAAATCTGTTTCTCATCCTTCCCATACTCATTCTTGGCTATTAGAGTGTAGTCCCCATTGTTCATGTGAGTGGGATTATCCAACTGGAGGCAGCCGTGGTACTCCGTGTGATTGGTAACATGTATTTTAGTACAGATGTATTTGGACTCATTCAATATTGCCCCGTTATAGAACCACTGAAGCGCTGGTTTGGGGTTGCCTTTCACAGTGAATGGAATGCACCAGTGGTGGTCTGAGGTTGGAGATTCGAGAAATGTGATAGTTGGTGCAACTAAATTGAAAAAGAGAGAGTTAATAGCATCAGAAAGCTCAGAATTCTCCCCATCTCGAGATGTCTGTGTCATTGATAGGGAATTTTACTCAACCACTGTATGGCTTAGAAAAACACATGATCAGAAACTCTGGAATCCATCAGTATTTTGTATCATCATCAGGGTGGATGTAACTCCCTACAGAGAGCTTCAGAGAGATTCCTTTCTGTGTTCTACTTAAGACCCATGCATTACAGTCATTTCTCAAATCTATTCAGTATAAGTGAAAACCAGCTCCAAACAGATCCAAGAGATTTCTGACAGTGGAAAGAGTCCATTTGAAGTTGACTTTGGTTTCTAATATCTGTATCTTGATATTATACAGATTCATCACCAAAAAAAATCCAAAATAATAAAATAATGAATACTTTTTGATAGAACTTCTTTCCTAAATAATACAAATAACAAAAACGACTTTTAAAATTTTACGTGAAGCCTTGATCTCACATTTCGAAAACAGATCAAACGGATCAATGCAATAAATGTTACTGCTGCTGATGAATTATTATAAGTTTAATAAATCAATATTTATTACTGATTGTCAATAGTAAATACTCCTTGAAAGTATCACATTTCATTATAGTGTTGTCCATTTTTGCTAGGATCCTAGATGCCAATGTTTGGATCCTTTAAATGTTTGGGGTCCAATTTAAGCCTGGACAGAGTAGGGATTATTTCAATTTTAGATATAAAGCACTTTATGCTTTGGGGAAACAAACATTATCAAGTAGAATCTTTAAACAGAGTACTTATCCTAAGTGAGGGTATTTAAAATACTTCATCTATTTATTTTAATGTAGTCTGACTTTGGTAATTAAAAAATCAAGGACTGGAAAAGACCTTTGAGATCTAATAGCATCATTTTTTCAGATGAAGAAACCAAAGTGCAATGAGGTTAAGTGAGCTCATCAAGGTTACTGAGCAAGGCAGATCTGGAAAAAGAATCTTGTCTCCTGATGTTTAATCCAGTGGCCCTTCCCTTTCAGGCACTGCTTCTTGACTGTATGTGTTTATCAAACAAGAGGAGAAAAAAATCTAAGGCATCGTAGCCAGGGAACAGACAAAACCTCTGAGTGGGGTCTCTGCACTGGTTATCTTTGTTGTTAATATTTTTTGTTTGTTTGTTTTTGTTTTTTTAGACAGAGTCTCGCTCTGTCACCCAGGCTGGAGTGCAGTGGCATGATCTCAGCTCACTGCAACCTCTGCCTCCCAGGTTCAAGCGATTCTTGTGTCTCAGCCTTCTGAGTAGCTGGGATTACAGGCGCCTGCCATCGTGCCCGGCTAATGTTAGTATTTCTAGTAGAGACAGGGTTTCACCATGTTTCCCAGGCGGGTCTTGAACTCCTGATCTCAAGTGATCCACCCGTCTCGGCCTACCAAAGTGCTGGGATTATAGGCGTGAGCCACTGCGCCCGGCCAGTTGTTAATATTCTTTATCATTTATGGCTTCTGGTCTTTGTCTAAACTATGACAGATAAGGTCAATTTTTCAGAGCCTAGTGACCATACAGATATTAACCTGAAACTGAGGAAAAAACTCAAGTTTGGATATTTTTACTAGAAAGCAGGTAATATGATATTACCCCCTTACTTGTCTTCAGATAAATCCTCCCACAATACTACCTAGGAAGAAGCCAAGCTGATAAAAGAACCTAATTCACTTTCATAATTTACAGAAAGATTTCCAGTTACCAGCGACATTCCTCTCAATTGAGCACCTGCGAAGCTGAACTCCGCACATGTATATTGTAACAATGTCCCTCCCTCTGAGAAATGTGATATTACTAAATGTAAATTGGCAAAGCTTAATTGTTTGCTTTACCAAGTATCTCTCACAGGCCTCCTCAAAATAGTCTTTGGAAAACAAAAGGTTGAATATGTGATTTCATCTATAAAAATTCAGTTTAAATATAATTTGGGGGGACCCTATATATATATATTATACACAATAAGGTCCATGCATGTGTAGATACACACACTTGTAGACCTGTGCTATAAACCAACCATGACAAGGACCACAGTGGGGCAGGGGTCACACTTACCTTCCTCCCACCAGCCCAGGTTCCCACACCCAGGGCCCCTCATGCCTTCCACCATGCTCAAATGAATTTTGGGTTAGGTGCTGATTTAAGGACATACAGTTGAAAGTGGTTGCATATGTTTGGAGATAACATTGACTTCAGGCTTCTGAGGGGGTCAAAATGATGAGAAATTACGAGTTTAGTACCCACTGGGCATGGTGGTTGTACTGACAGTGATAAAGGATTACAGCTGATGATTTCAATCATTCACTCCAGCAATCACACACTGAATGTGTGCTGTGAGTGAGTGTTAACCAGCATATTGATACCAGCTATGGCCATGGGTCTACACGTGTGTAACTCATATACACACTTACACACATGCACGTTCATGTTTTTCTCATCCAAATTCTAATCCAAATGGAGTAAAACCTCATTAATTTATACCGTGCCAGCTCAGAATTTACAATGATGTGAAGTGTCTATATAGTTTTTACTAAATACACACCTTCAAGCTAAAAGCCATAATTTGGAATTTCAAAATGTAATTAGTTACAATACTGAAGAAAAATATACTTATGTTTAAGAAGATGGATATCTTTGAACTTAGATTCAATGTACACAGAAATTTAAAACAATAATAATAAAAGTTTTCTACAGTTGATAATAATTTTCAGTAATTTAAGCAGGACTAATCCTACCTTCTCACAGAAACTTGATTATCAAACGAATGAGGTTTTATTTTATCAACAGTACAATCAGGCATTTGTGAACAGCCAGTAAATACTTTAGGTATCATAACTTTAAAGCATCATATTGCTTTTATAGAGGAAGAAAGTTTTAGAAACTGGTTTACGAAAATTTAAGCTAAAACATTGATAAGAGGGAGCAACCAGCCCAAAATATATTCTATCAGAAAAAAAGACAGATGAAGGCACAAAATGACAAGCTCAAAATCAAAAAAGAAGCTGAAAAGAAAGATCATGCATGAGCAAGAGTTATTAAGCAGAAACTGAACAAGTAAAAGAGGCTGATAATGTTTCTTAATTGAGTATGCACAAAACACTGCATATACTGTCCCAGCAACAAACGTAGGTATGTCCGTGATCATTTGCTATTAAAAGCACATGCCAGTCTGATTACGTACAATGCACAGTGAGGTTGACAGAATCTTGATCTTCTCCTACAAGATTTTCTGCCACACAAGAGATTTGCTTCCCACTGTCATCGGATGAAATGTTAGTTATCCTTAAGGAGCCCTGTGTGTGGCTTGTTTCATTCTACAAATGAATTAACAGACAAAAATAACCTTGATTAGGATTGATCCCAAAGTGACAAGATTTGGGGTTTCCTCCGCTAACTAGAGAAAAAAACAAATATATAAATATAATATAATACATATATATATAGCATTAGAAAAACTTCTCTGCCTGAAATAGGCTCAGGCAAAGAAGTAAATCAGAAGTTATTCTATTTCTCTAGGTTTCAGTTGCTAAGTGCATGAGGTTGACTTGATCCCTGAATTCCCTCCAAGGGAGAAGACCACAGGGAAAGTCACTCGCTTTGTTCAGGATGATACAAAGAGCTCACTAGGGATATAAAGACGCCTCGCTCTCTTAGGTATGCATAACTAAAATGCAAGCCTGCATTAGTCTTTGTTAATTAAGAATAAGTAGAAAGTAAATGTACATCAAAAACTCTGTAAATTTCTATATGTAGCCCTATAAAATATCAAATGATCATCACTAGGTTTAATACATTCTCACATTCTGAAACACTCTTGTCTCTCTATTAAGACACAGCCAAACACAAGCCTTACCATATGTTTGGAAACCAGATTACCAACATCCCAATACATATTAGGAACCGGATCGCCTGCCACACTACAGGATAATGTGATAGACTTTCCTTCCTCCACAGTGAGGTTAGGTGCGGCCAAATTTGCAGATGGTAAACCTATGGAACAAGAAAAGTAAACAGAGGCATATGCAAATAGTTAAATGCAGTATCAAACTAAAAGCAATAAATTGAAAACTGTTTATGCTTTAAAAATCAATCTTTAATTGCTTTTTGAGACTGATTTATGTTGATCTGAAAAAGTGCCACTTTGATCAGCTTCATAGATTTAACATAAATCAAAAAAAGCTATAAGTAGATTTCAAAATAAATTATGCACATTTCTTATAGCATTAATGCCTAATAACCTTTTATTTTAAGAACACTAGTATAAAGAACTGTCTTCCACCTCTTTTTCTGTTCTACAGTTACTAATCCAGTTTTTGCACATAAACAGAGATTGTACCTATGGACTGACATCATGTCTTTTATTTCCTTCTGTCTCCTACCCCCTATTTTTTTTTAATGCTCAAGAACACAAAAGGGTGAGATGCAGCTATGTTGTTTTTGCAAAAATCTGTTTTTTGCTTTAAGTAACTCTCACAAATCTAACCCTCTACCAGACACAGATTTTGAAAGACTCATTCTATTGAAGAAAATGTAGTTTCAAAGCATTTTTCAAAGACAGGCAGTTTGAACTATTACAGTGTTAGAATGTTTCAAAGTTACGTAAATCGTAGTTAAATATTATAGGTAAAACTGCTATCTTATTTAGAATATAATGAAAATGGGTATATGGACTCATTTCAGTGAAAAGTTCTTTTTATTGGAAAGACTCTGAGAATGTACTTATCAGATGAAACTTTGAACCTTATAAACATTTTTTAATAGTCCAGCAAGGCATCATTTTTATATTTTTATATTTCAAAAGCTATGTGTAATTTTAGGGATGCTGCTATCACTTCATGAAATTATCACACCAACTGAGTGTGGACATTGCTTTAAACTGCATAAGAATCATGGTATTTTTTACACGTAGGCATGTCTTAGAGGGTATAACAATATGTCAGGACCTGCTAGTGGAGGCTGTCCCTCTCTTGGTGTCAGGAACTCTGCTTGGGACTATAGTCACCTGACAGTTATGTCCTGCAGAACTATGATACAGCATTAAGTCAGATCAGAACCTGGAGGTCAAAGAAGGCGATTCATTTTCAACAACCGTTAAATTGCAATTAACCCACCCACCTGGCAATATTTGACCCGTCATCTTCATATTATTATGGATAAACCCTTCTCTTATCCTGTATTCCTACTGGCAAAGACATCTTTCTTTATTAGTGAAATCAGACTGGAATAAGATTTATACAGTCTCTATCTCATGGTTTTCCCACCACTGGGAGAGGATTCCCCAATAAGATCTGGCTTTCAGGGGCTAGTGAGACCCCCTTCCAAACTCTTCCTTCCCGTGAGCATCCAATAGAGACCAATGTTACATCTTTCGTGGGGTTTCAAGAAAAAAAAAAAAAAAAAAAGCCCCTAATAGCCAGAGTTATACAGAGCAATGAAATATATAACAATGATTAACAGAGAGTGTAATACAAGCCCCACACCCTAAACCCGGCACATACTAACTTTGTGGCCTTGGATGAGTCTGTTGTTTTTCTCAATGTGTTTTCTTCACAACTTCTATGACAATTAAGCTGTTCAATTTATTAGGGAGCATGTCAAGGCAAAATAGAAGAAATGGGCTTACTTAGTGAAAAATCCCCTTGAAGTCAATGGCATAATCTGGGTGACTTTTAAAAATATGTATATACTTAATTTTGTTTTTCAAAAATCAAATATTTAATCACATAGTTTGAAGAGTTGATAATTCTGTAAAACTTATGAAAAAGATTCAAGCTACTATGTGTGAAAAACAGTAGTCCCACCTTACCCATGTGGCACTATTTCCTATTCCCGGAGGCACCCATTTCATCTCCTTTAACTTCTTCTTTGGGCATTGCTCTGCTCATCACTAAGCATCACTCTTTATTGCTACTTCTTGGTTTTCCTGTTTCAGCAGTATCTACTGACCTCCCACTGTGGAAGATGAGATACGGGCTCCCTTTCACACAGAATGCCAGCTCTCCTCAGGCCCCCACCACATTCAACATACTCTGTCTTCACACTTTTTCATGCGCTGTAATTGTCTCAGTGGAGACATAAAGATGATTACGAGTATGTGGCCAGGTACGGCTCATGCCTGTAATCCCAGTACTTTGGGAGGCTGAGGCAGTTGGATCACGAGGTCAGGAGATGGAGACCAGCTTTACCAACATAGTGAAACCCCATCTCTACTAAAAAATACAAAAAATTAGCCGTGTGTATGGTGGCAGGCACCTGTAATCCTAGCTAATGGGGAGGCTGAGGCAGGAGAATCGCTTGAACCCAGGAGGCGGAGCTTGCAGTGAGCCAAGCTCGTGCCATTGCACTCCAGCCTGGGCAGCAGTGCAAGACTCCATCTCAAAAAAATATATATATATATTATGAGTATGCAAGCCTTACTAACACCAGAACCATCTAATACGCAATACTTACTTTATTTCACCAAATTTAAAACAGTATTAATTACAGGTTGCAACATTGCTATTATGTACCACTATGAAAGGAAAAAAATGTGCCAATATAACTATAACACATGCTTTCTTACCACTTAGAACTATTGCTTGGAGGTTGGACCTTATAGATAGCCCATTTAATTCTCCATTCCTTTCCTATTTTCCAACTTTTGATTTATTTGCTCTATTTGCAGGGAGAGTTTTTTAGATTAATTTTTAAAGCCTGCTTTTAAGGTTGTTCATTCCTCTATCATACTTTTTATTCCCAAGGCTCTTCTTTTGTTCCTGAATGTTCTTATTTTATAGCACCTTCTTCTTGTTCCATGGATGCAATATCTCTTACGATTTCTATGATATACTTATAATCATTTCTTGAATTTTTATTTTCTCTATATCAGTTTTGTTTCTAGCAATTTTTTTTTCTCTCTCTCTTTGTTGCTTTTGTGTTTGTCTTTCAATTACAAGCTTTCCTCAATTATGTCTGGCTATTCATACATCTTTAAGATTGAGGTACTAGAAGCATTGCACAAATTTATGAATTGTCAGCTTCATTGTAGGACAAAATTATTGGCCTATTTACTAGGTACCACCTGATGTCAGGATCATGAAATCATTTTGAGGAAGGGGGTGGTCAAGTTATTCAAATAATGCTCTTCCAATTTCCTGCTTGGAGGAGAAAGAGGCCTGGAAATACTAATATTCAGAATGTAAATCCATCATATTCTCTATGGTTCCCATGGCCTCACTCTCTCTGGAGTTTCTCAGAACCTTTGTTTTATCCACTTTAGAGAATTAAGCCTCCAGTTTTCTGCTGAGGCAGGAGAGGTGCAGTCACCTGGGCTTAGCAGACTTTCAACCAATACAGTGTTTGGTGTTACCTGTACTCTCACGCCCTAAGCATTGTAGTAGTTCTGCCATATAAACCAAGTTTCCCCTTGGCTTTCTCCATTGTCAACTTGGTAACCAGCATTCTCACCCTTTAAGTCAGTTACTACTCATGCATCTGCTTTTTCAGCTTGCAAGTGTTTGTGCTTTGATAACTCTCCCTCTTCCTTTTTTATTTATTTATTTATTTATTTATTTATTTATTTATTTTTGAGATAATCTTGCTCTGTCACCCAGGCTGGAGTGCAGTGGCACAATCTCTGCTCCCTGCAACCTCCACCTCCTGGGTTCAAGGATTCTCGTGCCTCAGCCTCCTGAGTAGCTGGGATTACAGGCACATACCACCACGCCTGGCTAATTTTTTGTATTTTTGGTAGAGATGGGGTTTTGCCATGTTGCCCAGGCTGTTCTCAAACTCCTGAGCTCAGGTACTCCACCCGCCTCGGCCTCCCAAAGTGCTAGGATTATAGGCATGAGCCACCATGCCCCACCGACTCTTCCACTTTCTATATTTATAGATTTATCTGCTGACTCTGGGGTGACCATCAGAGTCAAGGCCTGTCATGGTGCTTGTTCTCAAGGTATGACTCCCTCCATAGCCAGACCCCACCAATGAAGCCTAAAGACACCCACCCTGGCATATCAAGTACAAACCCATGGAATGCATTTCCTACCTTTATAAATGTATCTAATAGTTTGGAAATTCTGAGCAGAGAAAGGTTAAAATAAAGAGATTTTCAGTAGGAAATGTTACATCATAATGTTAGTTTTTCCTATAAAATCTCATGTGGGTTTTATTTTTCAAACTTAAGCTCACATAATTAACAGCTCTAAAAGCATTTAATTACAGTAATACTAATATTAGTATTTATTGGGCATTCACTGAACCAGATATTCTTGCCTAGTATCTTGTTTTATCTCATCCTTAGAACCAGTCTTGAAGATAAGTTTTTGCCCTCATTTAATTAATGAAGTAGATGAGTTTTGGAAAAGTCAAATACATTATCCAACATTGTCCAAGTACATACAGACCTAGAATTTGAACTCAAAGCTCAGGGTCTTCGCCACTACCTCCCAAGCTGTACATATCCATTTCATCATGGACCATAAATACCACTGATAAAGTGGTATTTATGATTCCTTGATAAAGGAATTATTTCATTTAAAAATAATTACATGTCTATTCTGGAGAAGAGTGAGTCTCCTTTATTTATAGACAAATTGTATCACCCTGTCATCAAAGGAATCTGAGCAAAATTGGCCAAGTCTAGATCTCTTAAATGTAAAGTCTTCCACAAATGAGTAAGCATCTGACTCACGTTAATTCTACAGCGTTAATATGCTGGCCAAAGATTCAATAATGGAAAAACAATCTGTACTTGAAATATCACTTGAGGTTTAATTAGCACAATAAAAATGAATTGGGAAGCATGAATAGCCAAGGCGGGATAAACCATTTGCCAGGCACTACTTCTTGGCTTAATAAGATTTGAAATCGGCACAAACACACAGCAAAGCCCAGCAACGCTTCCAAGAGCTGCTAGTTCTACTGTAAAAGGATCCTGACTCTAAGCCCTACAGCTGTCTTCCTTTGCACTCTGGGGAACCTCGCTGGAGATCGGAGACGACCAGCTT